AAAGGTGGATACGATTAGAGGGAAGACGTTTGGATTCCTAAAGCGAGTAGAATCAAAAAGTTGACGTTATCAAACCGGGAATTGATTTCCTCAATCATCATCGATTTTGAAGGAGTTCAAGAACTAAGGTAATTTTCGAAATTACTTATAATAAATCAAAATTTATTATTATTACATGTTTTTAAAGATGACGATCTGTTTATTCGACATATGTATGTACGAGTTATGTATTTAATTGTTAAATACATGTTTTAAAAAATTTTAAATTCTGCTGCGTATAGCTCGTACGTTACAGGCGAACCCAACAGAGATGGTTCAGCAGTCGGCGAGGAACTTCCTATGTCTGATTCGAGGATGCAAGCCACTTTTGGTGAGACCATGAATGACCTTCGACAACAACTAACTAGAATGGAGCATAACTTAGACGTATATTTCAATCACGTAGTCTTGAAACCGCCCTACTCGGCGCTTCATTGAGGATGCCGACTCTAACCAGATGTTCATTGGGATCATGGGAGTTCTTCACTTCTCTTGTTTATTCGTTTATTTTAGTTTGGACATCTGGTTCTGCCATTGAGGACAATGTCTATTTTTAAGTGTGTGGTGGGGTTACTTGTTGAATTGGTGTTGTATTTTGATGCTTATGTTGTTACGTGTTGAGTTATGTTCATTGCTTCTCTTGTGGTTATTCTTGATTCATTTGGAGCCAATTCGTGAAAATTGATTTAATTTGCATGCGGAAATGATTTTTGAGTCCTTGCTGCTACTTGGTGATTGGTTATTCTTTATGATTAATTGACGGACGAATGCATGTGATTCGACACATATTACCTTATTTTATTTTGTTAAAATTGAGTCTATGAGCATAAATTTAATATCATGCTCCGTTTCTTTGATTTTGCGTTGTCATGACTAGTTGATTTTCCAGAACTTGTTTTGGTATGCATGTCTTCATGTATGCATGATATTTTGGTAAGGGTATTAGGATTTTAGCCATTTTTTTGCCTTTTTCTTGGAAGCCTACCCCTTACATAGACCCCTAGTGAGCCAAGTTTGAGCCTTAGCCTTTTTATTTTGATTTTAATCACGTTAAAAACCACGATATCCTTTTTAATGATACCCTCTTTTGAACCATGTATTGAAACAATTATATGAATTCTTTGTACTCATGATGAGCTTATTGTTTGGTATTTTGTAAAAGATTGGCTTTTAGATTCTAGCAATTCCATTTTGATCTGGCAATCATGTTTTGGTCAAAGTACATATGCTTGCAGTTTATTTATATATTTAATCATACTCCTTGTCTTGCATTGAGAAAGTATGGTTCGTGGTGTCTAGAACAGAAAGATCATCAATCAGTTCCTTGTAAGACTAAATTATTGTTCACAGACTAGTCTAGACAGGTTTGAGACCTCTCTTGGAAAAAATCTGTAGTGTAATCCGGATCTAGTTTTTCTTTTACTAAAGGCCTCCGGGCTGGGTGGTCGATCCTAGTGTTGGGTCGTGAAGACAGGGTTAGCTCGAGCAGGCCTCGGAGGCAAGTCGATGATTTCTTCTTGGTTATATTTGGTTTGTTATCATTGTACATTTATTCCTACCCCAGTGGCAGGTTGAGAGAAGACAAAATCCACCATGACTAAGGCCTCCGAGCTGGGTGGTCGATCCTAGTGTTGGGTCATGAAGATATGGATAGCTTGAGCAGACCTCGGGGGCAGGTCGATGATTTCTTCTTGGTTATATTTGGTTTGTTATCATTGTACATTTGTTCCTAACCCAGTGGCAGGTTGAGGGAAGACAAAATCCACCATGACTAAGGCCTTCGGGCTGGGTGGTCGATCCTAGTGTTGGGTCGTGAAGACATGGAGCCTATCGGAGACCTCAGTGGCAGGTCGATCAAACTCGCTACGGATAGCTCGAGCAGGTTAACAGATTTATTTGATTTGGTTTTGTGTTATTTGTGCTTCTGACCTCAGTGGCAGGTCGATCAAACTCGTTACGGATAGCTCGAGCAGGTTAATGGATTTATTCAATTTGGTTTTGTGCTATTTGTGCTTCTGACCTCAGTGGCAGGTCGACCAAGTTCATTATGGAAAGCTTGAGCATGTTAATGGTTTATTTGATTTGGTTTTGCTGTATTTGTGATTTCGATCCCAGTGGCGGGAGTTTATTACGGATAATTTGAGCAGATGGATGGTTTTATTTGGTTTGGTTATTTTGTATTTATGATTTTTATCCAAGAAGCAGGTTGATTGCGTTTTATCTTGGTTTTGTCGAATTGATTTTTCGACTTCAAAGGCAGGGAGATGGGATTCATTCTGTCACGAGCAGGTTGATTACATTTTATCTTGGTTTTGTCCAATTGAT